ACAAAACAGAAGTGAACAAAAATTCCTAGGGTTCTGCCCTTAGCTTTCAATGCTGTACCTCTAGGGGAAGGACAAGCCCCAGTGGAGACTGGTTCAACCAACCCGGTTCTTTTCACATCTGGGCAATGAACCCTCAAATAGCACTCATCCTAGTTTCTAACAGAGACAGGCTTTTACATGCAGTCCTATTGTTAAATGAATCCTTGCCTTAAGACCTTGCTTCAGGGATTTCCATGGTAGCAAAGTGGTAGAGGATCCATCTTGCTACGCAAGGGACGTGGGTTTGATCCCTGGTCGAGGAACTAAGATCTCACAAGACACAGAGCAACTAAGCCCGAGCACCACAGCGAGAGAGTTCAGGGGCTGCATCCAAAGGTTCTGCATGACACAGCGAAGACCCCAAATGCTGCAACTAAGATGTGACAGGGCCGGATCAATGAATACATTTTTTAAAAGAAATTAAAATTACTTAAAAAAAGACCTTGCTTCAGACAGCACAAAAATTGTTCTGCCCCTGTAACATCAAGGCAAATGGAAGAAGCATGAACTAAGGCATCACATGGATGAATCAAGACCAGAAGCAGAAGTGTGTCCTCAGCAGACTGTAGGAGAATGTTTGTCCCATACCCCACAAGACAAATATGGTATTCCCAAGAGGGGATGGGAGGAGGGAAGCCAGGCTTCAGCATTAGAGTCTCCCCTCCTCTCTGTTTGGCTCAGGTCACCGGGGGACCCAACATTTGGCAGAAAGACCACCCTGAAGGGAGCCCTACAGAGTCAGGGACACGGCCAGCGGCAGCACCCAGGTGTGGCTTCACTCACCAGTCCTCCACAAGCAGTTGACGTTAAGTCTGTAAGTAAGAGCCACAAACGCAAAATGTCTTCCAAAAAAATAGGAAGGCTCGGCTACCCGTGATCTTATTAAAAAATAAATAAATCATAATGGAGGCTATGACACATGTTTAAAATTTTGTCCTAAAAATGCATGTTCTTTAGGTGTTCTTGTGTTGAGGAGCATAAATGGTTTTGGAGTGACCATTATGATGGTAGTGACAAAAACATTCTTGAATGAAATCACACATCCACAGCTTAGGGAAGGGAGATACGCATATCTACAACTGCAGTATCTCTTGAGATCCACCGTGGCTGGTCAGGGTCAACGTGAGACAGTCATTCAAAAGTCAAACTCCAAAGGACAACAGAAAATTAAGTGTTATCTAAGTGAAGCTCTCAAGACAACCCAGAGAGAGTGAGAGTGGACACACATATCACTGGTAATTGAATTTGCATTTTTCCAGTGATGTCCAGCTGAAAACATCCCCTATCCACACTGCCAGTGGGGCCTCTCACAGTCCTGGATGCCTCCAAGGGATTCCTGCAAAATCGCATTTTGGCAAACCTTCTAGAAGAGCACCCCTGTATCTTTCATTCTGTGGGACTGAGGGATGTCCAAAGACGATGTGCCAGCCTGTGCCTGGCAGCCAGGCTGGCAGAGGACTCTGCAATGTGGTGTTGGCATGGAGGGTTCACTCAGGTCGCAGGCAGTGCCCCCCGCCCCCGCCTGCCAAGACTCGCTTCCCGGGTAGAAGCTCCTTCCACGAAACAACTTACTTCTATTTACTTGTGGTAATCTTTCTTCAGATCACGCTGACAGCCCATTAATCATTTCTGTCATCCCCCTACATAATCCAGTGCAACAGATCTCTTGTTTTTCTAAAAATCCCAGTGCCAGAAACCAAGCTCCAGAAAGAGGAAACCCTTTCCCCTTCCAAGCGGCTGGCCCGGGTGCTGAGTGGGGAAGCCACCAGTGGCGGTAAGTGGCCTCTTTTGCCCAGAATCACAGAGAATGTTTCCTGGAAAGTTTGCAAAGAAAATTCAGGTGGGAAACAGAGGCAGGGAGGCTGAAAAGGAGCAGCCCCCAGCTGCAGGGGAACGTGAGAAAGGAAAGTGGGTGAATCGACCTCCAGTCAAAGTCAGACAGGGCTTAAAGAAATCCTTCTTGGTGGTACCAAGGCCAGTTGGTCAAGCAACTTTAAACCAAAGAAAATGTATGTTAAAGGCCAAGGCTGCAACAGTTATAAAACTTCTGCCTCCCAAACCAATGAAAAACTAGCATTAACTAGAGACAAAACAGAATGAGCCCCAGTGGCTGAGAAAAGGCCTCTTGTGGAGCCAGCACACTGCTTGCATAATAAAAATGGAAGTGACTTTGAACCCACTGACCTCTGGGACTTTTTTTTTTAATGCAGATATGCCTGGTGGGTAGGAAGGAGCCCGATGATGATAGGACACAGGGGACAGAAGAGCCACGATCGTAACTAGACTGCTCACACACGTATTAGGTCACACTGTGACCTGTACACGGGACAGAAGTCAATGACATCACACATGGGTCCCCAATATCTGGGATCTAATGCCTGATGACCTGAGGTGGAGCCGCTGTCATAAGAAGAGAAATAAACTGCACAATAAATGTGATAAACTTGAATCATCCTGAAACCATCCCCCCACCATCCACCCCTGGTCCGTAGAAAAGCTGTCTTCCATGAAACCAAGTCCTTGGTATCAAAAAGGCGGGGTACCACTGGCGTAACACAGAAGGCGCAAGAAGAGCAGCTGAGTATTTTCTTTTTTTTCTCCTCCCACGCCGATGCTACCAATCTGATCAATGACAAGCTCCTCTACAGACAAGGGAGGAGGCCCCGAGATGCCAAGTGAGGACACTGTGCTATTAGTAACTTTCAAGTCCCTACTAGATTCTAGGACTCTCGGTGGTTCACCCAAGTGGTTTGAAGATCACGTGCAGGTCTGAGATTCTGTGATTTTAGCAGGCTCATAAGGAAGGGCCAATGGTATTATAAGAGTGTATTTCACAGACATCACGGTTCTCCTTAGTGCTGTGAAGTCAACTTGTAGTCATCAGTTATGACTCAAGAGGTTTGATATGAACATATGCTTTTTTATACCAAAGTGTGTCAACAATTTACTTAAAACATAAATTAGAGCAAGGCAGTCTTCATTTAGTCATGTGATTTTTCATCTGCCATTTTTCAAAAAACACTGGCACTAAAGGGCACAGAAGGAGAGAAACAGACCCATGTAGTGATTAAGCAGTGACTATAACCACCACAAGAACATTCAAAGTCATGCTCGTAACTTCTGCCTCCCAAACCAATGAAAAACTAGCATTAACTAGAGACAAAACAGAATGAGCCCCAGTGGCTGAGAAAAGGCCTCTTGTGGAGCCAGCACACTGCTTGCATAATAAAAATGGAAGTGACTTTGAACCCACTGACCTCTGGGACTTTTTTTTTTAATGCAGATATGCCTGGTGGGTAGGAAGGAGCCCGATGATGATAGGACACAGGGGACAGAAGAGCCACGATCGTAACTAGACTGCTCACACACGTATTAGGTCACACTGTGACCTATACACGGGACAGAAGTCAATGACATCACACATGGGTCCCCAATATCTGGGATCTAATGCCTGATGACCTGAGGTGGAGCCGCTGTCATAAGAAGAGAAATAAACTGCACAATAAATGTGATAAACTTGAATCATCCTGAAACCATCCCCCCACCATCCACCCCTGGTCCGTAGAAAAGCTGTCTTCCATGAAACCAAGTCCTTGGTATCAAAAAGGCGGGGTACCACTGGCGTAACACAGAAGGCGCAAGAAGAGCAGCTGAGTATTTTCTTTTTTTTCTCCTCCCACGCCAATGCTACCAATCTGATCAATGACAAGCTCCTCTACAGACAAGGGAGGAGGCCCCGAGATGCCAAGTGAGGACACTGTGCTATTAGTAACTTTCAAGTCCCTACTAGATTCTAGGACTCTCGGTGGTTCACCCAAGTGGTTTGAAGATCACGTGCAGGTCTGAGATTCTGTGATTTTAGCAGGCTCATAAGGAAGGGCCAATGGTATTATAAGAGTGTATTTCACAGACATCACGGTTCTCCTTAGTGCTGTGAAGTCAACTTGTAGTCATCAGTTATGACTCAAGAGGTTTGATATGAACATATGCTTTTTTATACCAAAGTGTGTCAACAATTTACTTAAAACATAAATTAGAGCAAGGCAGTCTTCATTTAGTCATGTGATTTTTCATCTGCCATTTTTCAAAAAACACTGGCACTAAAGGGCACAGAAGGAGAGAAACAGACCCATGTAGTGATTAAGCAGTGACTATAACCACCACAAGAACATTCAAAGTCATGCTCGTCTCATCGCAACCCTGTGGACTATACAGTTCATGGAATTCTCCAGGCCTGAATACTGGAGTGGGTAATCTTTCCCTACTTCAGGGGATCTTCCCAACCCAGGGGTCAAACCGAGGTCTCCCGCATTACAGATGGATTCTTTACCAGCTGAGCTACAAGGGAAGCCCAAGAATACTAGAGTGGGTGGCCTGTCCCTTCTCCAACAGACTTTCCCAGCCCAAGAATTGAACAGGGGTCTCCTGCATTGCAAGTGGATTCTTTACCAACTGAGCTATCAGGGAAGCCTATCAAGAGATGGTATATGAGTATGAGTTGGGTGGCTCAGTTGGTAAAGATCTGCCTGCAATGCAGGACACCCAGGTTTGATCCCTCGGTTGGTAAGATCCCTTGGAGAAGGGAGTGGCAACCCACTCCAGTATTCTTGCCTGGGAGAATCCCATGGACAGAAGAGCTTGGAGGGCTACAGTCCATGGGGTTGCAAGAGTTGGACACGACTGAGTGACTAAATCATGAGTTGGGTAAGTTAAGGGATTCCCAAGGATAAATCTGATCAGGATGGACTTAGAAAGAAACCTCCTCCATAGTCTCCTACATAATATATTTTAAGAAGGTGACTGTATATCCTTTATTTTTTAAGTTTCCTTACTGGTATAAACTTCAGCTTTGCTGAATATACACCATTCTGTTTCATCTAAGTATAATAAAACCCACCTGCCTTTGGATTTGGGACTCAGAGCAAATAATCTGGAATTTTTTTTTTTTAAAGGAACCTTACCATGAATGCTACTGTACTTCTCAGCGTGGATTCCCACTGGAAGCAGCTTTTAAGGAACTGTATTGTATTCCACATAGCCATGGTGAGTCTCTTCACTCGGTCTACATCTCTGGATAAGATCTGATTTTTAAAAAATGGAAAACAGGGAACAAGATTTACACACTTCAATTATTATCCTTAGATCAGACGGCTTGGTCATTTGAATTATATTCTGTATAACCACTAATTAACAAAACAATAAAGAAGAGTCCTAAAATTTTTCCAGAATTAATTTTTAAAATATGACCATTCAGGGAGGAAAAGAAAATCCAATGCATTTTATAGCTCCTTTGAAGGAGAACAGGCTGTTTCAATAATGTTCAGCAGAAAACTGAGCTGGTAAAAAATACAGCCGTCAGCAATGTGACATGTGTGAACTTGTGTGTGTGTGTGTTTGAGAAAGAGAGAATGGAGTGAGGATTTGTGCTGTTTAGTTTTTAGTTTGGAAGGAACTGGGTAGTTTTAGTAGAAATCTAAATGTATTCTGGCTCATCACATCTAGAAGAAAAAGTCTATAAAGCTCCACTCCTGTGGCCACCTGATGTGAAGTGCCAACTCACTGGAGAAGACCCTGATGCTGGGCAAGACTGAGGGCGGGAGAACAGGGTGACAGAGGATGAGATGGTTGGATGGCATCACCGACTCAATGAACACGAGTTTGAGCAAACTCCGGGAGATAGTGAAGGACAGGAAAGCCTGATGTGCTGCAGTCCATGGGGATGCAAAGAGTTGGACACAACTGAGCAACTGAACAGTGAGAGCCACACAGGAAAGTCAAGTTCTGGGAAGGGAATCCAGCTCTCCCAGCTCTTTGCTGTGTGACGTTGGGCCAGTTTCTTAACCTCTCTTATTCAGTGAGGTTGACGTAGGAGTGCTAACTTTGGAGGTTGTGGAGACATTTGAAGGATTAAGTAGTTGAGTCTCACGTACAGGTTTCAACTTTGCAACCATCTGGTGACACTTAGTGGTGAGAGGCCTAAGGGAGAAACCTAACATACCCCAGGGCCTCAGCCCCCAATCCCCTGTGCTCCCACCTCCCAAAGCCACTCCACATGGAGGTGAAGGTCCTGTTTGGCAAAGGAAATGAAATGTCTTTTCTCCCAGATGTTGGTAGATTCATTTCAATTTGTTTGCAAAAACAGCAATGCCACCTACCCCAATTCACATTTTAACTTTTCAAGTAAACAGAGCAAAAGACAATAACAATAATAAATCCACTGATTCCAATTACACAAAATAAATATTACACTCAATGTTGTGGCAGAACAAAACAAAGCATTTGGATGTTCCCTTCAGGAGAGGTTTAAGGCCTTTCCCGAGTGTGTCCAGAAGTTCATGGGAAACCAAAGGACGGTAAGCTGCCTTTATATTTAACTTGCTTTATGTAATCCTCAGCTGCTCACCCCACAGGAAGTGGTGGAAGTCATAAACACTTTAAAAAGGGGACACGCTGTTACACAACTGAAGAGGACAGTATGTACAGAGTGAAATCCTGAACTGTTGGGACGAGAACAGGGAGGGGCTCTGAAAAGAGCTGGAAAGGTCGTGGTAAGAAAAATGTGAAACTTCCTCTACTCAGCCCCGATCTTCACTTTCTGTTGAGCTGATGAGAGAGGAATTAAGGGCTCCTGGCAGGGGGAGTGAGGATTAATTCCACAGTGGGTTAAATGCTGGCACATCCCAAATTTAGGCAAAGCAGAAGCAGAAGGAACAGCTGTGGGTGAATCTGTGGCTGGACATCTCGAAAGGGCCACCGGCTTCCCTGTATGCCGGACGTCATAAGCAAAATGCCTCTCTGAACTGTGCAGGGATGGAGAAGGACACGGCTGTGACGGAAGGAGGGCGGAGGGGCCCAGGACACTCAGGAGGTTTATAGAGGCTTGACGCTCAGAATTCCTGCTTACAACACAGTTCAGGGATGAGCGGAGGGCCGACACTCTTTGCATCATCAACAGATATGTTCTCAGTCCTTCCCTTCTTTACCGAACCCAACCCAAGTCCTCATCTAGGGAGGAAAGGCGAGATGATGGGGGGAAAAGTGCAGAGAGGGAGGAGGAAATGAGACCAAGTCATGAGCATTAACTACTCTAGGTGCGGGTGCTGAGTGTCCCAACAAGCCAGGTTACTGCCCTGACCTACCTTTTTGGACAGCTTGCGGCCATCTTCAACAAACCGCTTTTCTCTGGGAGTAAAGGTCCGAATACTTGCTTTGATCTAGAAAGAGGCATCAGTGTTAAAAACGGAAGCACTGAGATGGACTTCACTCTAATGACTGAGAAGCCCTAGAAACCAACACCTTCTGACCCGAAGGGCTTGGGCAGGGGTGGGGAGCAGAGACTCAGGGGTGCCCCGGTGCCCTGCAAGGGCTTCTGGGGTCTCACTTCATGAGCATCACTGTCATGAGAGATGAGACTGGAGGTCAAGCTGGAGACTCCTGGGGACTCTTCTGATGCGGCAAATTGAAGAGATTTTTTTAAACCACTGCAGAGATGGGCTCACGAAGTCCTCCAACTAAAGTCTCTAAAAACGTCAAACTTCCCTTCACATCATGGTTTTGAACTATCCCTTTGCCAGTAATACCTTGCAATGTGAAAATCAGTTTCCGGCTTATAAAAACATTTTTTTCCCATAGAGAATCTCATTTCCTCTCAATGATCCAGAAAAATAAGTACATGAGTCATCTTAGTCCTGTTTTTAGGGAATAAACTGAGGGTCAGAGAGATTTTGCGGTTTGTCCAAATGACTATACTAAGGGAAAAACCTCAAAAGTAACATTCAAGTCCTTTTCTTCTATGTCAGATGGACAGCTAGAATATTACTTAACTAACGGTTTTGAATTTAAGGCTGTTTCCCTCCTAAAACTCCAGTTTTACATGTATGCATATTCTATATACAAGTCCTTGCCAGAACAAAACAGGAGATGAAGGGTGATCTGTGTGTGACACACACCATAGGTTCTCCTTGAAGGGAAATGTTAAAAGGGATAAAAGAGGAAGTAACAACAGACCCCATACTGGAGTCTGTGCCCAGAGTCCTAACATTTCCAGGAATGAAGTATTAAACTTCCCTGCTACTGATTCTATGAATAATCTCTTAAACAAGGCAAACAATCAGCAGTGTAGCATCAGGGATAAGAGTCAGGAAGACCTGCATCTGGATCCTAACTCACTCATTTATTAGCAAATCAGTTCTCCTGTTTAATTCCATTTGCTCATTATAAGATGACATTCATGATCGCTATGGACCAGGCTTCTTCTGGGAATGAAATGAAACAGTATCTGAGCCTGAGACATTGTAGACGGGTAATAAACAGAAGCCATTCTTCTAATTACTGTAAAGGCACCATTATCTTATATTTGTGGACCCCACTAACTAACCTGTGCTGTCCCTTCCCGTTCTAGAACCTGCTGCTGATACCATCACAAAGGAATGCTCACAGCTAAGTAAGCCACGTTCCCACGTGCCTAGGAATTTCTGCCCCCAACAGTCGAACTGTATGTCCATCAGAACCAAATGCACTAATTTGTAAACCTGTTTATGCCAATTTTGTCCAATACTGTAATTCTGTATTTTAATTATTATAGAGATTATTGATATATTATACAAGTATTAGTTGCTCAGTCGTGTCTGACTCTTTTGAGACCACATGGACTGTAGCCCGCCAGGTTCCTCTGTCCATGGGATTCTCCAGGCAAGAATACTGGAGTGGGCTGCCATTTCCTTCTCCAGGGGATCTTCCCAACCCAGGGATTGAACCCAGGGCTCCTGCATTGCAGGCAGACACTTTAACCTCTGAGCCACCAGGGAAACCCTAATACAGATCAAAAGACTTGAAATCAATGTTGTTCTGGAAAGTGTTGAGAAAGGTCAGTTAATACAAAGATACTGCTACTGAGGTGATGATTTTATGGAAAAATAACCTAGAGGGATTCCACATTCAGACTGTTCTGTGTCTTTAAAGAATATCTCTACTTTCAAGAAACTGAAATTAGAAATTATAGATGTTACAGGTGTATGTATGCAAGGAATACACTGTAGAACTAAAAACAGTAAGTCTATGCTATTAGAAAACAGGTTTCAGGCCTGCACCTAAAGACTGGCAGGAACAATATATATTCACGCATTTTATATTATGCTAAAAGTGCAAGATACATTTTAAAAAATCCTCCTTTTACTGCTGTTTTCAATTAACTATTTGTCCTGACAATGGCTGATTGTAGAGTATCTAAATATGGTTAAATAACATAGAGGCTTGAAAACATTTCTGTTCAATAGTCAATGAAAGAAGATTAAAGGTAATAAGCCAAGAACCTAATTTTCCTCTTATTTCTTGTTTTTTCTTTTCTTTACATTTAGATTTATTGAGAATTACACACCATCAATTCTATTGGGCCAACAGGATTAATATGAGACTGTCCAGCACTGATTTGTTTTGGCTAAGTTTAGAAACACTATTTTCTCTGTAGCTGTAAAAATTCTGAAACATTTTATAGTGATTTGAATCTCTTCAGGTTGGCTACGTTTTACTTTTGATAGAAGGAAGTTGGGAGGTAGTCTAGTTAGACCTACCGGATTATATATGAGGTCCATCTCCAAGTAAATAACTCCTTTAAAAGCTTGTTCTAAATCTTTATTCTTCAACACGTAACAGTTTGTCTGTCCATCTCGAATCTGATAAACAAGAGAGAAAACACAAACTTTCTATGGGGTTTAAACTGAACAAGCTGACAACACTGAGAATGTAAAATGCATACACAGATAAAGCCAATATTAAACAAAATTAAAGCATATAAATATTAATCATAAATCAACTTTTAATTCTAAAGTACTTCTATAACTGATAAGATGATAAAGTAACAATCACCTGGCTTCTCCAATGAAAAAATAAATGAATAAAAAACAAAACAAAAATTAAAAAAAAAAATCACCAGGCTGAAACTGATATATGAGTGGAAAATTGGTGGTATAAACTATTACTAAGTCTACCAGGACTTTCGTTAAAAAATCCCAGAGGTTAAACATTTTTGTTAAGAAATGATGAATATTCTACAAAATTCCTGGCAAGTACTACTTGAGACTGCCAAGGTCATGGGAAAAAGGAAAACTTGGAAACTGTCGCAAGTACTAAGGAGATTAGATGACAAAATGCAATGTGGTACCCTGGGTTGGATCCTGTAACAAAAAAGGGACATTAGTGGAAAAACTGGTGAAATCCAAATAAAGACCAGAGTTTAGTTAATAATAGTCATGGATAATGACAGATTTTTTTTTTAGCTTTGATAAATGCATCATAGCAATGTAAGATGTCAACACGAGAAGAAACAAGGTGAAGGCATATGGGAACTCTGCATCATCTTTGCAACATTTCTGTAAACTTACAATTACTCCCAAAAAAGGGTTGTAGGGTAAAATGTCTTAATTATAATACAGTATTTTATTTTATAAAAATATTAGATATATCATNATGCCTCCTAAGGCCCACTCGACTTTGCACTCCAGGATGTCTTGCTCTAGGTGAGTGATCACACCATCATAGTTACTGGGTTATTAGGAACTATTTTGCATAGTTCTTCTGTGTATTCTTGCCACCTCTTTTTAATTTCTTCTACTTCTACTAGGTTCTTACATTTTCTGTCCTTTATCTTCTAAAATATTATTTCATAAAAATATTTATAAAATATAAAATATAATTTTAAGACATTATTTTATACAAATCTTACAAAACACCTTAAAGAAATGAATTAAGGAGCCAGTTTTTAAAGAATGACCAGTATTTCACAGCCACAGTACAAAGCAAATTAAATAAATCAGCATAGCTAAAGTTGAGGTCAAAATTCAAATACATTTTAAAAGAACAACATGCTGAAAAACCATCAAAGTTTAAACAAGTTCCACTGATGGCCTCCCTCAGCCAGCATGTACATCAGTTCTATATATCAAACTACTTGTGTACCCCAGAAATTAAGGCATCTTAGAGAAACATCACTGTATCATTTTGGAAATGACCTGGCTCCCATTAAGGCATTTTCTTTTCCGATTTGATAGCAAGCAGCAATGCTTATATTGTACACAGGAGTAGCATATGTATTATTAAACTTCTGGCTTGTTCAAAACATCTCTGCTAACTCTAACAGGGCAAACTTGAGCTGACCAAAAGCTCCATTTGGGATTATAATGATCAAATATTTGAAATAACATAGGAAATTTGAGGGCATGAAGTTTGAGCTATATTTTAAATGACTACCACTGTCACTGCAAGCATTCAACACAAGTGGTGGAAATGAGTTGAATAAGTCATGGCGTGGGGCGGGCGGAGGACAGAGCCTTTCCACTTTACAAGGGAGAGGTCACCTTCCTTCCCGAAGTCACCCCACCTCTCTCAGATTGAATAGGTTTTAAACAGAAAGATGGTTTTCCTGGCCAGTGGCGAAGAGGAAGGGGCTGCCCCATAAAGACCTGGCTTCCTTCCTAAACGGTATCCAAACAGGATTCTGAGCTTCCTCTTGTATCCTCTGTCTCACTTAATAAATTGTGGGTGTTAAAGTTGAAAGAAATAAATACAAAGACAGCATGACAATTTGCCAAGATGACTTTGGTCCAATTTAGCTTTGCCTCAATCCACAGTCATTGTACCGTTATCTTAAAATTTCCATGATTTCTTAACGCTTCGGGAAGGGCAACAGAAGAACAAGAGATATCTGTATACAAAGAAACATTTCATAGTAAAAGAAGTTTTTTAAAATTATTATTTTGGGTAAATGATCATTTCCTCTTTCTCAATGTCCTAGAATTGTGTCAGCAAAGCACAGAATCCATCTAGGACACTAATGCTGTTTATAAAGCTAGAGATATAATTAAGGCTACTTATGTTTGGCACTTTAATAGATTACTTTTAAGTATAGAAATTCCAAGTTTAAAAATGTGTAAAAAGATTGAAACATGACAGAAAAAAGTCCTTCTGGATGTCCATAAATACTACAATTCCTTCCTGGAGAAGGAAATTAGACTGCAATTTGGCATGTATCATTTCTAAAATTTTTTAAGAATCTATATTCATAATTATATTCCTGAGAAAAACATATTTTAAATTTTTTGTGCTAAACTGAACATATTTTTCCGTTTCATTTTTTATCTCTCAATGTGATTTGATAATGACTGTATTAGTATTTCTCATTTCTTTAAACTGCTATGTAAGTTTCACAATTTGAATAAACCACAATTTACGAATCCTCCTATTTGTGAACATTTGGTTGATTCCACTTTTTCAGCCTGTCCTCTATAAGAAATATCTTTGGGGAAAAGATAAACAGTGGGAGATAGAGGAAATAGACTACTTTGTGTCTGGGATATGCTTGAGTTAAGCACAGATCAATGCACTGAACATTTAGTGTTATAATTAACATTGAAATAGTAACCAAAGAAACTTTTAAAATATTTTCTTTTCCAAGGTTTATACATAATTGAACTTTCAACACATGAATATAGGATAAAAAGTTCCACAACATCTCAACTTGCCAAACTCCTACATGACAGTATTTATATAATAAATAAAAGATAAACATATTCTTCCAGTTGAGAACTATATTTATTGTTTATACTTAACTGTGAAAATTATTTTTAGCAGTTTCTAATGTTAAAACCTCTATGAAAACAGACAAAGCACAGCCAAAAGAAAACTTAGAGCAGAGAATCTATATATACTTTTATCTTTGGGTATGAGAAAGGCACTTCAATTAAGACCCAAGATCTCTGTCACCCAAGGCAAAAAGGAATGATACCATTTTCAATTTATGACAAACGGAAGTTTCTCAGTTCAATAGGAGGGTTCCTGGATTGATCTCGGAGAGGATTCCATTTCACTCAAACAGAAGAATGAATAATAGATAATGTCTTTTACTTCAGTGTAACGAGAGAATTCTTCATAGGGACTTATCACACACCTTTGTAAGCTCACCTTTTCATAGGTAAGAAGCAATCATTTGGGGAAGGCAGCACTGTAGGATGGTAATACAGATGTAACCTAATTAGGAATAAAACTTCCACCATCAGGGAAATGTTGTCTGAGTAACAGTTCAGGATTTCAGAGCCAGAGGACAAGTAACAGATTTTAATCTGACCTGAAATTACCTTTAAACTATGCAATTTTTCTCTGTATAAAAGAATTTTAAATGTGCTTACACAAGCTTTAAGCACTGTAAATATAAAGAACTTTTTAAAAGTTGGATGGTAAAACTAAGTTTTGTGTCAAAAAGATACTATCCATTGTATTAGAAAATGAAACTGTTTTAAATTGGCATATAAAAAAGTATGTGGGACACAGAAAAAAGTATTTTTCTCAGCTGAAACTCTTTTAAAAGGAATTCTCATTATTATGCTTTACTCAATTTCTTTGATGTAACTAGGTATCAATTGATTCAACAGCAAAGTTAATCAAAATCAATATGAATAAAACCATCTGTTGGCTAAAGGAGGAAAGATACACACTTAAGATCTAAATCCAAACTGAAGAGTCATATTGATCCTTTCCACTTCCTATTTTAACCTTCATGTGACTAAAAGGAGAACATTTGGGTGTAAACAAGCCTTATTCTATTAGAAGCTTTTCACTGCATGCAAAAGGGAAAACATTCTCACATGACATCACACTATAGCAGCTGGTTCCCACTGATGCACATGCAAAATGACCAATAAAATGTGATATGGACAGACACATGACTGGGGAAGAAGAAAGTAACTATTCTTTAGTTGGTTGTGATTCTATTTATGTCCCCGCTTGGAATCAGGCCTGTTTCCCATGGTAGGAGTTACAAACATGAGACTGCAAAGCCCACTAGGTCACGATTTGCCCTGATAAAGGCAACCACTCATAGTAAAGGCAGCACTGAATTCATCAACCCAGCCCTCCTCATACACCAACCTGTCTTCGAGCAAGGCAATCCAACCCACCCATTTGTTGTCGTTCAGTCGCTCAGTTGTGTCCGACTCTTTGCAACCCTATGAACCATAGCACGCCAGGCTTCCCTGTCCTTCAACATCTCCCCATCCCTGCTCAAACTCATGTCCGTCGAGTCAGTGATGCCACCCAACCATCTCATCCTCTGTCGTCCCCTTTTCCTCCTGCCTTCAATCTTTCTCAGCATCAGGGTCTTTTCCAATGAGTCAGCTCTTTTATCAGGTGGCTAAAGTATTGGAGCTTCACTTCAGCATCAGTCCTTCCAGTGAATATTCNACCTTGCTGTACCCAGCAAGTCTGTCAACTCCTCTCCTTAAAATGTAAGCTGTCTTTACAAATTATTATACACTAATTGTATGAATGCTATACAGTTTACAAAAATAGCTTAAAAAAGAAAAAAATATAATTTTTATCTTTTACATATTTTGACAAACACACAGCTCTAATTTGTAATGTACTTTTAAATATGTCTTTAACTTAAGAAAATGATAATGCGACTCTCTGCAACCCCATGGACCACAGCTTGCCAGGCCTCTCTGTCAATGGAATTCTCCAGGCAAGAATACTAGAGTTGGTAGCCATTCCCTTCTCCAGGGAATCTTTCCAACCCAGGGACCAAACCTAGGTCTGCTGAAATGCAGGCTGATTCTTTACTATCTGAGCCACCAGGAAAGCCCACCAACTCAATGGACATGAGCTGAAGCCAACTCTGGAGATA